GTCATTGTTATAAGCAATCATTTTTATAAATGCCATCCATTGATTGCCAGTGTGTGCTTTGCAGGGAGAAAAAACAGCCACATCTCTGCTCAGTGTAGAGAGCCCTGTGTTGTTAGTAAACACAGGGATCTGAACTGTCATTCGCTAAGCTGATCATCATGTCCCAGTCATAAATCATTGGCCATAACCTGCTGACTGACTTATGATGCACTAAATGACAGTACAGATGGGGCAGTGGGCGTGCTTGGGCGCCCCCTACCCGGAAATGATGGATTATTATTATAATACAGGATTTATATAGCGCCAACAGTTTGCTGAGAGCTTTACAATATAACTGGAGACAATACAGCAACAATACAGTTCAATACAAGAGGGATAGGAGGGCCCTGATCCTTGGAGCTTACAATCTAAGATTATGTATATGTACATGATGCAGAGTGGTTGCCCCAGCACACTAAAAGTACATGGAGTGGTCTGCAAGTGGTTAATGTTGATTAAGAGTTTAATACTGATTTAAGTATTTAGTGTATTCTTAACTCTAAAAAGTTCCTTCTATTGCTCTCAGCCTCTCCTGAGTCTCCAAATTTCTCCTGTGATCTGACTTCCTGTTAGCAGATGGCTGCGTTCACTCTCCATGGTCCCACTGTTTGTAGAAATTTAGCCACCCTCTATTGCTCAATCCTGAGATGGACTATAGACTATGAGATTTGTAGTGTGCATAGATCAGTGCACATGAACACAACTAACGTGCACTGCTCATTCCAAACAAATGGAAGTGAGGGGAAACGGAGAGGTTTGGGAGCTCACGAAGGACATTACAAGGAGGCAGAAAAATGTCATAAGAAAGTATTTAATAAAAAATAGATTATAGGGCCATTAAGTAATAGATGTGTAACAATTATATTTTAAGAATGAGGATATTGTTTAGTGTCACATTGGTGTGACATAGATGTGATGTTTTCAAAGGGGTTGCTATCTATCTATCTATCTATCTATCTATCTGTCTATCTGTCTATCTATCTATCTATCTATCTATCTATCTATCTATCTATCTATCTATCTGTCTGTCTGTCTGTCTGTCTGTCTGTCTATCTGTCTGTCTGTCTGTCTGTCTGTCTGTCTTTCTGTCTGTCTGTCTGTCTGTCTATCTGTCTACCTGTCTATCTGTCTACCTGTCTACCTGTCTACCTGTCTGTCTGTCTGTCTGTCTACCTGTCTGTCTGTCTATCTGTCTGTCTGTCCATCTATCTATCTAACTGTCTGTCTACCTGTCTGTCTGTCTGTCTGTTGGTCTATCTACCTGTCTGTCTACCTGTCTGTCAGTCTGTTGGTCTATCTACCTGTCTTTCTGTCTGTCTACCTGTCTGTCAGTCTACCTGTCTGTCAGTCTGTTGGTCTATCTACCTGTCTGTCTATCTGTCTACCTGTCTGTCTATCTGTCTACCTGTCTGTCTGTCTGTCTGTCTACCTGTCTGTCTATCTGTCTACCTGTCTGTCTGTCCATCTATCTACCTGTCTGTCTACCTGTCTGTCTGTCTACCTGTCTGTCAGTCTGTTGGTCTGTCTGTCTGTCTGTCTGTCTGTCTGTCTGTCTGTCTGTCTGTCTGTCTGTCTGTCTGTCTGTCTGTCTGTCCGTCTGTCTACCTGTCTGTCTATCTACCTACCTACCTGTCTGTCTATCTACCTGTCTGTCTGTCTACCTGTCTGTCTGTCTGTCTGTCTGTCTGTCTCGGTCTCTCTCTCTCCCCCCACATATATAGTACTATGCCTTTTTTATGTAAATGTATACATATGTGACCCAGTTGTCCTACATTGTCTTGTCTACAAACCAGACAAGAACATTCCATTTCTATAAAGTATCCTCTTTGTGAGCGTCTGCTCAGGTGTTTTACATATCTTCAATTCAGGGGATTTTTTAAGAGCGGAAACATCATTTTATCACTTTCACCCACAGACATGTACAGGGCTGAGAGTGGGAGAAAGTGGCTGAAAACGACTTGACATTATTCACAGTGTCGGGTTTTTGCAGTTTTGTTTCCATTGAGTATATTTTCTGATGATTTGCCTCTCATTCTCTCATCTGAGATCTGGTTTTATGCGGTGGGAGTCTCGCTGTATATATTTGTCCCGCACAAGCTTCATGCACTTGTATTTGATAAAGAAACCTCACTGGGTTATTGTTGCTGGGTAAAGAGACCCTGTATTTTAACATGTGGGGTGATCAAAGGGTTAACTGTGCGCTGTTGTACTGTGTGCGCTGTTTAACAGCATGTGCTTTGTGTGTTTTATTAGGAAGGCATGCTGCTTGCATCTCTGCTGTGCAAAGAAATACACAGCAGCATGTCCTTGCTGGCAGGAGAGAGACCTGTGTTGTTTACACACAAGTTTCTCTCCTGTTACCTGATCGCCGGGTGCGGACGGGGAATCTCTGTCCGGGACCAGGTGATTGACATGCCTAGCTGCCAATGGTGGCGCAGGTAGGGCAGCACGCGCATCCCCTACCTGGGAAATTCAAATCTTGTATATATACGTGATTTTGCCCAGCGCTGCTGCCCTGCAGCAGAAGTTCTACTATGAGGCGGCAGGCAAGTGGTTAAAGGCTATGTAGGAAGGAGGAGCTGGGCCAGCATAAGCACTAATTAGATTCTCCTAGAAAAGGAGGATGGGGATATGACATGCAAAGAGGGAGGTGGCTGTGCTAGCAAATAAACTTTTCCTGGAGTTACACTTTTGGGCAATTTCACACATAGGCACATTGCGATTGCATAAAAAATATTTTATGAGAAGAAAAAAACACCGTAAGATGGCATTTAACTGCTTGCCGACTGCATAACACACATACATATGGCAGCAGAACGCCTCTTCTGCACTGGATTATGTACCTACTAAGTAATCAGCACTTCTGGGTAGGGCGTGCTGTGATTCGTTACAGCACAAGCCAATCAGCGGGTCCTGGTTACTGATTGGCCACCGGATCCGCTGATCAGCTACGTGATTCACAGGCAGAGCTCTGTATAGTGACAAGCAATCTTGTTTTTTTTTTCATTCCTGCTAAGCAGGAAAAAAAACAAGATCCCTTAGTAAAAGCAGCACATATTACACACAACAACACTTTCTAGGCACACAGTTAACCCTTTGATCGCCCCAGATGTTAACCCCTTCCTGCCCAGTGTCATTAGTACAGTGTCAGTGCTTTTTATTAGCACTGATCCAGGGGCGGACTGACAACTCATGGGGCCCCCGGGCAATAGGGGATCATGGGGCCCCTGTGTCCTTGCCCAAACTCAAAAAAGCCTATGAAAAAGGTACCAGGGGAATCTCATGGGGCCCCCTACCGACCTTGGCCCCCAAATGGTCAGTCCGTCCCTGCACTGATCACTGTATTAGTGCCACTGGTGGTGTCAGTGGCAGTTAGATTCTACTCAGTGTCAGATTGCCTTCCACACTATCCCAGTCCCCTTATAAGTAGCTGATCGCCGCCATTTTTAGTAAAAAAAATAAATAACTAAATAAATATTCCAGTATACAGTTGCAAGAAAAAGTATGTGAACCCCTTGGGATTACGTGGAGTTTTGCATGAATTGGGCATAAAATGTGCTCTGAACGTCATCTAAGTCACAACAATAGAAGAACACAGTCTGCTGAACATAATACTACACAAACATTAGATGTTGCCATGGTTTAATTGCACATAACATGTAAACATTCACAGTGCATTTCAGGTACTTATATAGTGATGTTAATGTATGCAGTGCTTTACATATATATTGTACATTCACATCAGTCCCTAACCCTCAAGGGGCGTCAATCTAAGGTCCCTAACTCACATTCATACATACACATACTAGGGCTAATTTAGACAGGAGCCAATTAACCTACCAGCATGTCTTTGGAGTGTGGGAGGAAACTGGAGTACCTAGAGGAAACCCACACAGAGAGAACATGCAAACTCCAGGCAGGTGGTGCCAGGGTTGGGATTTGAACCGACGATCCGAGTACCACCAGGTGGAAGTGCCAACCATTTAGCCACTGTGCTGCCCATGATAGTTTCAATTTGCATGACAAGTCACACCCTTTTGTCCGCAATGGAAGTGGTCCAATCGGTGCGACCAATTTTGAATGTAGTTCATGCACTACTTTTTGCAAGTTCGGGTGCAACTTGCATAGACATCTGGGAATGAAATTGCATAATGTTTTCCAAGTCGCTCCTGAAGTCGCACTGACATCTGACTTCAAGTGAAGTTGCATGGTTTCAAAGTCAGATTTGGTGTGAATGAAATCTTAGGGCTGGATCACACCATAGAAACGCAATCTGGATGCATTTCTGTGCCCAACCTCTCTGCACAGCTCCTCCATTCACAGAAACTGTGCCACAGCTTTTATGAATGGAAAGCGATCGCTGAGTAGAGGGCAGGGGGATGATTGAAAACTCCACCCATTCCATTTATAGATTGTGTTGCATTCATAGAAGATGTAGTACCTGAATGTGACTTAACATCATTCTTTGCAGTCTATAGTACATATTGTAAAGAAGAGCTCAAAATGGGGGAAGGGAGGGGGAGCAGCTTAAGAAGCCAAATAGGTGTGCTGCAGTGCAAGGGGCATGCCGACAGGAGGAGAGAACAGAGTGACAGAGGGATGAGTTGCTTCTCTTGTCACTGTCCAATCACAGGGTAGGAACCTGCAAATGAAAGTGAAACTGCAACAGAGAAAGATTGTGTTCCCATCCCCTGCTAGGCAGTGATGTTCTGTGGCAGAGCTTTGCAAATCTCAGGACTGGACAGACAGAAAAAACACATTCTTTGGCAGATAAAACATATGTATGTGTTATCTGTGTATTTGACTGTTTGCCCTGCGTTCAGCTTTAACCATTTCTTGCACTGCCCTATAGCAGAAATACTGCTATAGGGAGGCATGGGGGTGCAAAATCACGCATCTATATGTGATTTGGCAGTTCCGCCATTTGTGGCGTTAATTGTCAATCACTGGGTTCTGGGCAGTGATTTCTTGCCGGCACCCGTTGATCGCCAAGTATCTCCGACAGGGGAGAGACCTATGTATAAACAACACAGATCTCTCCCTGTCAGCTTCTGCACACTGCTTTGTATGGCTCTACATAGCACAGCCATGCAAAGCAGTGTGCTTACAGTGTAAAGCATACACACAGCTTATAGTTAACCCTTTGATTGCCCCAGATGTTAACCCCTTCCTGCCCAGTGCCATTAGTACAGTGTCAATGCTTTGTATTAGCACTGATCACTGTATTAGTGTCAGTGGGGATGTCAGTGGCAGTTAGACAGTCCCCTCCCAGTGTCAGAATGCCCGCCACAGTCCCGCTATAAGTTCGCTGATCACCACCATTACTAGTAAAAAAAAAAAAATCCCAGTATATATACTGCCTATTTGTAAACGCTATAACTTTCACGTAAACCAATTAATTTACACATATTGGGATTTTTTTAGCAAAGACGTCACAGAATACATTTTGGCCTAAATTTATGACAAAATTTGAATTTGACATTTTTTTAACTGGATATTTTTAGTAGGAAAAAGTCAAATATATTGTTTTTCTCTCAAAATTGTTGGGGTTTTTTTTTTTTTTTTAGCGCAAAAAAATAAAAACTGCAAGGGTGATTAAATACCACCGAAAGAAATCACCATTTGTGGGAAAAAAGAATGTAAATTTTATTTATGTACAGCGCTGCATGATCACGCAATTGACCAGTTAAAGTAACGCAGCGCCGCATCGCATAAAATGGCCTGGTCAGGAAGGGGGGTAAATCCTCTGGAGGGCAAGTGGTTAAAGAGCTGATTCACATGTCAGTACGAGGTAAGCAGTACATTGACTCCAGCTGAAGTATTTCTATTGTTGTGCAATGTGGAGGGGCAGCACCATAATTTACACATACAGTATTGGGATTTTTTTTTTAGCAAAGACATGTAGCAGAATACATTTTGGCCTAAATTTGGGACTTGTCTGTTAATTCACCGGATTTATTTATTTTATATATATATATATATATATATTAAAAAAAAAAATAAATAAATAAAAATAATATATATATATATATATATATATACACACCGGTATATATTTTATATATTTAAATAAAAATATAAAAAAAACATATATATATTATATATGTTTTTATATATATATATATGTTTATATTATATATATATATATATATATATATATATATATATATATAAATAAATCCGGTGAATTAACAGATAAGTACCAAATTTATGACAAAATTTGATGTTTTACATTTTTTACTGGACATGTTTAATAGCAAAAAGTCAAAAATATTGTTTATTTCTCAAAATTGTCGGCCTTTTTTTTTAATAGCGCAAAAAATAAAAAACACACAGGCGATAAAATACCAGCAAAAGAAAGCTCAAGTTGTGGGAAAAAAAGGACATCCATTTCAGTTGCGTGTGCAGTGTTGCATGACCACGTAATTGTCAGTTAAAAATAACAGTGCAGTATCGCATAAAATGTCCTGGTCAGGAAGGGGGGTAAATCCTCTGGAGGGCAAGTGGTTAAAGAGCTGATTCACATGTCAGTACGAGGTAAGCAGTACATTGACTCCAGCTGTAGTATTTCTATTGTTGTGCAATGTGGAGGGGCAGCACCATAACGCTCTGCTTTCCACTCCATTATAAATAAACATTTGTGCTTTGGGGAATTTTCTGAACTGCCAGTACTAGGCTGCTCCCAAAATAGAAATGGAACAATTATAACTAAGAGACAGAAAAAAAAATCAGAGCATGGCCATGTGAGACAGCTAATGTAAATTGTTGTGTAGAGAGTACGGCCAATGATGACACTGCCAGTTCTTGGTTCAACAGGTCAGTCTGCGCCATAAAACGCATTATACGCTCAGAAGGTGAAATTTGATTTAAATTGGTCGTAAACCCCTATAAATACCCATTGAAGGGACTGGCCTCAGGTGATACACAGAGATGAAACAAATCCTCCTCCATAAGTTGTACCTGTTTATCTGCCATATTCTCTTCTCTACATCCATACTGAAATTATGCAGAGAGCTGAAATTCCATACTGCAGAGCTCAGGAGAGTTCTGAGAGCTCATTGGAGGGAAGGGATACCCCCCCCCTTCACACAGCACACAGGAACAGAATTGAGGCTGCCACTCTTCTGGAGCTCCCTCCCCTGTCACCATTTTTCTCTTGGTGTCAGGAAAACTTGTCAGAAGTGACTCATGCAGATAGCTGATGAATGAAGCACCAGACAGAAATGTATTATTTATTTATTACAGGTACTTATATAGCGCTGTCAATTTATGCAGCGCTTTACATATATATTTTACATTCACATCAGTCCCTAATCCTCAAGGGGCGTACAATCTAAAGAACACTTAGTGCTCTGGATTGAGACAAGAACACACTATAGAGGGAAATGCTTTATTCATATTTCATGTCTGAGGTTTACAACCGCTTTAAAATGATGAGTTGCTGAAATCATTAAATTATACAATGTAACTCTCTTACCTTAGCTTTGATAAAGTCAGGTGACGAAACATGTCTCAGGGTCGGACCGCATGACGTATTCTGTAATGAGCCATCCACCTTACATCCCCCGCCGGAGGTGAAGTATCGCTCACGAGGAGGATCGGGTGAGATTATTATTATTATTACATCGAGTTTATATAGTGCCAAAGGGTTTGCTCAGCGCTGTACAATAGAGGGGGGGGGGACAATACATGAAACAGTACAGCAACAACAAACAGTACACGAGGGGTTAGAGGGCCCTACTCTTTCGAGATTACAATCTAGGAGGGAGGGGGTAGTGGTACAGGAGGATGTGTCTGTGGGGGATGGAGTGGTAGGAGGAATGAAGGAGGACGGTTGTTAGGTGAGGGTGGGGTAGGCTTCCCTGAAGAGATGGGTTTTCAGGGAGCGCCTGAAGGTGAGGAGGGAAGGTGACAGTCTGATGGATTGGGGTAGTGAGTTCCAGAGGATGGGGGAGGACCTGGAGAAGTCTTGCAGTCGTGCGTGGGAGGAGGAGACCAGGGAGCAAGATAGAAGGAGGTCCTGTGAAGAGCGAAGGGTACAGGTAGGGTGGTACCTGGGAATCAAGTTGGTGAGGTAGTTAGGGGCAGTGTTGTGAATGGCTTTGTAGGTCAGAGTGAGTAGTTTGAATTTGATGCGTTGGGCAATGGGGAGCCAGTGGAGGGAGAGGCAGAGGGGGGTGGCAGAGGTGGAGTGGCTGGTGAGGTGGATGAGTCTCGCCGCTAAGTTCAGGATGGTCTGAAGCGGGGAGAGCCTGTGCTGGGGTAGGCCGGTGAGGAGGGAGTTGCAGTAGTCCAGGCGTGAGATAATCAGGGAGTGTACGAGTAGCTTAGTGATGTCTGGGGTAAGGAAGGAGCGTATCTTGGCGATGTTCCGGAGGTGGAGCCTGCATGTTTTTTTGTAAGTGATTTGACATGAGGTTGAAAGGAAAGGTTTGAGTCCAGAATGACGCCAAGGACTTTGGCTTGCTGGGCGGGATTGATGGTGGTGTTGTTGGTAGTGATGGATAGGATGGGGGGGGGGCGTGGGCAGGGGGGAAAGATGAGAAGCTCGGTTTTGGAGAGGTTAAGTTTGAGGAAATGGAGAGACATCCAGTCAGAGATGTCGTTTAGGAGGTGAGTGATGCGGGCGGAGACTGTGGGGGTGAGGTGAGGGGGGGAGAGGTAAATTTGAGTGTCATCAGCGTAGAGGTGGTAGTTGAAGCCGTGGGAGTGTATGATTTTGCCAAGGGAGGAGGTGTAGATGCTCGTTTCATGTGATATACAGATACCCTTTACGGTTATTGTGGATATTCTGGTAACCTTTCATTTATTTCATGTGAGTACAATACTTTCTACCCAGTAAATGGTTTTTAATGGATTCACGCTATGAGTTTCCTTTTACATCTTTCCCTGATTACAGAGTGTAATAGTCTGGAGGATGTCCCGCCATCATATCATCTCTAATTGATGAAGGGATTGTTGATTGATGATCTGCACTACGCTGACACTCACCACAAGTGCTATTGCCTATCAGGATTGGATGGGCCACGATATCTGGTGAGTGCCACTGAATTGGGGGAGGTTTTCCTCTGGAGCACGTGGTGATATCTGAGTGCATTTTATTCAACTGATTATCATTATGTTGTTCACGTGGTGATCTCGGTGGATCAATAAGGACTTTGTACTTACCCCCTCCCTCCTAGATTGTAAGCTCGAAAGAGTAGGGCCCTCTAACCCCTCGTGTGCTGTTTGTAGTTGCTGTACTGTTTCATGTATTGTCCCCCCCTCTATTGTACAGCACTGAGCAAACCCTTTGGCGCTATATAAACTTGATGTAATGTAATGTACTTCATCACAATTTTCATTTTTCAGTTGGTGGACTTATGTCAAATGATTTAAATATTTGTGTATATTTATTGAAGTGTTATATATTGTGTCATATTTTCACTTTGCAATTGTGTTTTATCATTTTTTTTGTGCTGCTTTTATTTGTCATTGTAACTCTATTACCTGCTTGCCTCGCAATAGGACAACGAGCAAACCACATTCCAATAATGGCAAATGTATCAATGGCCCCTTGCCTCTACTGGTACTTGAACAGTAACCATCCCATAGCATTGTGATAGAGAAGGATCTTCAACTGGGTGACACCTCCTTGGCTATGACATGCTACAGAAGAGGCACAGAACAAAGTAGTGGGGCACAGAGTGTTCTATAGCAGTGGGCATTTTCAGTTAGCCTAGGTTCACACTTGAGCATTTTTTAGGGCATTTTCCAGTTTGCAGAAACACAATACAATCAATTTAACATGATTTCCTATGGACCTAGTTCATATTTGTGTGTTTTGCGCTGGTGCGCTTTTTTTTTTTTTTAAAGGGTCAGTGACTTTTTTCCCACAGCAGATTGTGTTCTTTGTGTAAAAGAGTTCAATGGAACTGCACCAAAAATGCAAGTGTTGCGGTTTTGATGCATTTTCATTAATCATTTTTTTTTTGCTTATAGGAAAGTATGACAGTTCTTTTCATGTAGTGTGACTTTGAATGGGTGCGAATTGGAGGCAACTTTGGGTGGGTGCGTCCTTATACTCCATGGAACTCAAGTAAGCAAAGTTGCATCAAAGTAGCACTCATCCAAAGTCACACCCATCCATCCATCTAACATCAGAGCAATGGTAACCTGACAGTTTAATATAACAACAGAAAAATACATATAGGAGAGAAAAACTGCTTAACTATCATCTGGAGCAGGGGTCTTCACACATTCTAAGCAAAGGGCCAGTTTACTTTCCTTCAGACTTTAATGAGGCTGCACTGTTACCAGTGGTAGAAGAAAGAGCCCCAGCATCAATGGGAGCATAGAATGTCTCAGACTTGGAGGTCAATGGGAGTAAAAAGTTTACATAGCACCTGTGACCAGTAGGAGAGGGAATAGTGCCCCATCATTGGTGTCAGTGGGAGGAATAGTGCCCCATCATTGGTGTAAGTGGGAGGAATAGTGTCCCATCATTGGTGACAGTGGCAGGAATAGTGCCCCATCATTGGTATCAGTGGGAGGAATAGTGCCCCATCATTGGTGTCAGTGGGAGGAATAGTGCCCCATCATTGGTATCAGTGGGAGGAATAGTGCCCCATCATTGTTGTCAGTTGGTGGAATAGTGTCCCATCATTGGTGTCAATGGGAGGAATAGTGCCCCATTATTGGTGTCAATGGAAGGAATGGTGCCTCATCATTGCTGTCAGTGGGTGGAATAGTGCCCCATCATTGGTGTCAATGGGAGGAATAGTGCCCCATTATTGGTGTCAATGGAAGGAATAGTGCCCCATCATTGGTTTCAATGGGAGGAATAATGCCCCATCATTGGTGTTAGTGGAAGGAACTACGCCCCATCATTGGTGTCAGTGGAAGGAATAGTGCCCCAGATGTAAGGATAGGTTTCTTGTTTAAGTGTATAATTTTACAATGCACCACCCTAACCATGAGATCTTAAACCCATCATTTGGACAAAAAGTGTGCACATCAAGCTTACAACTGATGAGTGAGTGAGATCTGACAGCACAATACAGATAGGGTTAATTATGGTAAAAATAACTCCCCAATCCCCTCTTCAACATTGCATAGAAGGAGAAAGCTAAGCAAGGATTTTCAGCAAGTACAATTGTAAGCAGCAATATTTAAATGTGGGAGAAATAGTTTCCCATCATTGGTGTCAGTGGAAGGAATAGTGCCCTATCATTGGTGTCAGTGGAAGGAATAGTGCTCCATCACTGATGTCAATGGAAGGAATAGTGCCTTGTCATTGGTGTCAGCGGGAGAAATAGTGCTCCGTCATTGGTGTCAGTGGGAGAAATAGTGCTCCGTCATTGGTGACAGTGGGAGGAATAGTGCCCCAACATTGGGGTCAGTGGGAGGAATAGTGCCCCATCATTGGTGTCAGTGGGAGGAATAGTGCCCCATCATTGGTGTCAGTGGGAGGAATAGTGCCTCATCATTGGTGTCAGTACGAGGAATAAAGACCCATCACTGGTGTCAATGGGAGGAAAAGTGCCCCGTCATTGGCATCAGTGGAAGGAATACTGCCCCATCATTGGTGTCAATGGGAGGAATAGTGCCCCATTGTCAGTGTCAGTGGGAGGAATTATGCCCCATTGTTTTGTCAGTGGAAGAAATAGTACACCACTGTTGGTGTCAGTGGGCCAGATAAATGCAAGCAAAGAGCAGTATCTGAGCCATGAGCTGCAGTATGAAGACCAGTGATATGGAGCAATCAAATGAATTACCCCTCAACACACCTCTAATATGTTAGCACAGTACACACTTGGTTTGATGAAGGAGGCCTTGACTTGATGAAGGAGGCCTTTTGAACACCAAAAACGTGTTGGCTTCTTTTGATACGAGAACTCAAGTAACTCAAATCAGGGTGATATTGTGATCTCCGGACAGAACTCAGGACACAGCATCATCAGGACAGGGGACTGAGATGCAGGACTGTCCCAGGAAATTCAATATCTGTGCAGAAACTGATTGGCTCCTTGCTTTGCTGCTTTCTTCACACTCCAGCTCTGCTATACAAGGACTGCAAGGGATTGAGGACAACCTCAGGTTCTTACACTGCTTACATTTAAATGTTATGTTTACTAATGTATTAATGATTGCTGAGCTGCATTAACTTGTGACTTGGAGTTCACTTTTAAGTCAGTGGGACTGCAATGTGAATGCATAGTGAATGCATACTTAACGCATCTCATGTCTGTGGTGGCAGGCAAATGGGGAATGATTGGACAAGTTAGAAACTCCATCCCCTTGACTCCCCTGACAGCAACCACTGTCTTCTCTTGCTCTCTATTCAAAAACACTAACCAAGCTGAAGCTGACCACTTCTGTTCACTGATGTACATCACTGTGATCTGGCTATATACAATATATATGCATTGTAGCTAGGGGGAGCTAAATCTGTTTTTTTTCAGTTGGAAAGGCTGAATAGCAGCTTGCGCTGAGGCAGAGGGGTTATTTTAGGTCAGGGCTGAGAGGCTCTGCGGGTCAGTTCCTTGACTTCTCTCCTGCTCTTGAATCTTGGAGAAGATTCTAGAAGCAGTGGGCGGGGATAAGGAAGGGCTGGCCTGCACACATAGGAGACCCTGGCCAATCCCCAAGCAGGAGGCTTGGCATGGGGCCAGGGCAGCCTTTAAATGAGATTGAGCTTGTTCAGCAGCAGTAGAGTTCAGGTGGACAATGGAGTGAGAAAGCTGAGGTGTAGGAGCCTGGGATGGGACCCAGCTGGGAACGGGCTCACCTCCAGGCAGTGATGCTGGCAAGGAGGAAAGATCAGACCTCATTGGCCTCCAGAGAGAGGACCACTTAGGCAGCAGGAAAGAGTGGCCCAGAAGAAGGCCTGAAAGCAGCTACCAACCCACCAGCTCATAGGAACAGGACTGAATAATCCTACACTCCCTGTGCCAGTTAAGAAGAAAGAAGCACTCTGGTGGGAAACTGGATCAGCTCCTTGCCCAGGACTATTAACCTTAAAGTGGTAGGCACTGGTTCCCCTGCATCCCATACACCCCTTACCCCATCCAATATTCACACCTTTAAAAAAACATTTTCAAGGACTGGATACTGTCTCCTGGATGCAAATCTGTGAGGAATGCGTGTTGCCTGGTTGTGCGGGACTATAGGGGGACCTACATTTTGTATCGACTCCTAAGGGGGTAGTGCTACAACATATTCACCTGCCCTCCGCCCTATAGCAGAAGTACTGCTACAGGGAGGCAGGGCTGCACAAAATCATGTGTGTGTGTGTGTATATATATATATATATATATATATTATATGTGATTTGCATTTCCAGGTAGGGGGCGTGCACCACGCTACCCGCGCCGCCATTGGTGGCTACAGATGTCAGTCACTGGATCTTGGATGGAGATTCCCCGCAGGCTAGTAACACTGACAGGGGAAAGACCTACGGTATGTGTAAACAACACAGGTCTTTCTCCTGCCAGTAATAACATGCTGCTGTGTATTTCTCTGCACACAAGAGAAAAACACAGCAGCATGTCTCCCTAGTAAAACACACACAGTAAAACAGCATACAGCACACAGTTAACCCTTTGATCGCCCCAGATGTTAACCTCTTCCTACCCAGTGTCGTTAGTACAGTGTCAGTGCTTTGCTTTTAAATAGCACTGATCACTGTATTAGTGTCATTGGGATGCCAGTGGCAGTTAGTCATTTCCCACCCAGTGTCAGAATGCCCGCCGCAGTCCCGTGGTCCCGCTATAAGTCGCTGATCGCCGCCATTACTAGTATTAAAAAAATAAATAAATAAAAATTCCAGTATACTGTCCATACAGCCATTTATAGACACGATAACTTTCATGTAAATCAATTAATTTACACATATTGGGATTTTTTTTAGCAAAGACATGTAACAGAATACATCTTGGTCTAAAGTTATGACGAAATTAGATTTCTACATTTTTTTTACTGGACATGTTTTATAGCAAAAAGTCAAAAATGTTGGGTTTTTGTTTTCAAAATTGTCTGCCTTTTTTTGTTTATATCACAAAAAAATAAAAAATGCACAGGTGACCAAATACCATTGAAAGAAAGCTCTATTTGTGGGGAAAAAAGGATATAAATGTCATTTGGGTGCAGCATTGCATGACCGTGCAATTGTCGGTTAAAGTAAAGGAGCACCGTATGGCAAAAAATGGCCTGGTCAGGAAGGGGGGTAAATCCTCTGGAGGGCAAGTGGTTAAGAAGTGCCAGTGGTGTGAATGGCATTCTTCCTGCACTTATCCTAAGGTCTCTGAGGTCAAACCATCAAATACTTGTCCAGCCTTAGCTCCCCTCCATCACCTTTTCTTATCTCTGTGCATTTGGGTATCTGAAAGGTTAAAGATAAGGATAAAAGAGACATGATAGATCACTGCATATACAAAAGTCAATCATATGTATAAAAGTGGGAAAAAAAAGAAAACAAACATAACTAACTCTGCAACAGCCTTAATGTGTATTTTCACTTTGCGGTCACATTTTGAGAAACCCGCACCATATTTTTGTCATGTATTCCCATTCACTCAGCATACCTAAAAATTGATTTTACAAAAATGCCTTACCTTTTTAGTTGTTCCTTTGGAACAGTTTTATCCATAGGACTGGATATGTAGCGTGTTCAGTGTATTATTTTACAATGCAATACTCAAGCTTTGAAATCTTTAACCTTTTGTTTGGACAAACAGTGCGCACATCAGGTTTACAACTAATAATGAGATATTCCAGCAAATACAGGCAGGGTTAAGGCTCCATGCGCACTAGTGTTTTTTAAGCCCCTAGAACAGTGATTCTCAACCTTCCTAATGCCGCAACCCTTTAATACAGTTCCTCATGTTGTGGTGACCCCCAACCATAAAATTATTTTCGTTGCTACTTCATAACTGTAAGTTTGCAGTGGGAGGAATAGTGCCACATCATTGGTGTCAGTGGGAGGAGGAATAGTGCCCATCATTGTGTCAGTGGGAGGAATAGTGCCCCATCATTGGTGTCAGTGGGAGGAATAGTGCCCCATCATTGGTATCAGTGGGAGGAATAGTGCCCCATCACTGATGTCAGTGGGAGGAATAGTGTCCCATCGTTGGTATCAGTGGTAGGAATAGTGCCCCATCACTGATGTCAGTGGGAGGAATAGTGCCCCATCACTGATGTCAGTGGGAGGAATAGTGCCACATTGTTGGTGTCAGTGGGAGGAATAGTGCCCCATCATTGGTGTCAGTGTGGGGGGGGGAATTGTGCCCCATCGTTGGTGTGAGTGGGGGGAGGAATAGTGCCCCATCGTTGGTGTGGGGGGGGATAGAATAATGCCCCATCGTTGGTGTCAGTGGGGGGAGGAATAGTGCCCCATCGTTGGTGTCAGTGGGGGAGGAATAGTTCCCCATCGTTGGTGTCAGTGGGGTGGGGGGGGGGGGGAAATAGTGCCCCATCATTGGTGTCAGTGGGAGGAATAGTGCCCCATCATTGGTATTAGTGACACCAATGATGGGGCACTATTCCTCCTACTGACACCAATGATACTTATCTTGCTGACCCCTGCTCCAGCCTGGGCTCGCTCCCTCCCTCTCCCATCTACAGCCAGCATACCTGGCTGCAGCAGCACCATCTGCACGCTATAGACACTTACCTGTCAGCTGTCTTCCTTCTCCGGCCGCTCCCTCGCTCGATCTTCTTTGATCTTCACGCTTCTGCTCGGCTCCTCCTCCTCGCCGGTGATTGGCCGCCTGTGTGCCTCTCCTGAGCTACAGTTCCGGTGGCCAATCACTGGCGAGGAGGCGGAGCTGTTGAGTGATCCCGGGGATGTGGCCAGATGACAGGGGCGGCATGTCATCCTGCACACACACATCGCGTCCAGGAAAATGTGGACGTATCTGCATGTGGGCGGACCCGCCTGGAGACTGATAGAGGAGGGTGTCTCAGTTCCTAAGACCATCGGAAATATGTGTTTTCCGATGGCCTTAGGAGACCCCTGTGAAAGGGTTGTTCGACCCCCAAAGGGGTCGCGACCCACAGGTTGAGAACCGCTGCCCTAGAAGCTTTTATCAGCATATTTTTCTGCTCCTAGAAGCTAAATAGCGTTCTCCTATGTGTCCATGCATTGATTGAACTTCAGCGTCTAGAAAACATTTTTATTTGTAGTTTTTTTGGAGCATTTTTCAGGCAGAAAAAAACACTAAATGCTCCTAAATGCTGCTAAACACTACTAAACAGCTCCTAACAGCTTTTTTTCTAGCTTTTTTTTCCTGTACATGTACTGCAAATATGCTAACAAAATGCTAACACTTCTAAATGCTGGTAAAATGCTACTAAAAACCGCTATTACCAACATTTTTTATCAAGCGTTTGTTGAGCTTAAAAAAAAACACTAGTGTGCATGGAACCTAAGTATGGTGAAAATAACCCACCAGCCTCCTCCTTAACATAGAAGGGGGTAGGCAACCTTAGAGAGGTGGAAGATCTACCTGAACAACATGGGAGAAATCAAAGATCACCGGGCACAGTGTTACCTGTGTCACCCAATGTCGACTCCTCTCCACATGGAATAAAAATATATTTGAAATGTTTTTTTTAAATATTCTTCCCAAATATATTGACATATATTTCAAAATATATTTCAATAAATAAATAAATATATATAAATAAATATAATATATATATATATATATATATATATATATATATATATATCTCCTAGATTGTAAGCTCGAAAGAGCAGGGCCCTTGACCCCCTTGTGTTTTCTTTTGTCACTGTATTGTCTCATGTTCTGTCCCCCACTATAATGTACAGCGCTGAGCAAACCTTTTAGCGCTATATAAATACTGTATAATAATAATATATATATATACACTGTATGTTGAAATGCATTTTTTATTACAATATATATGAAAAATAGTTTTAAAAATACATTTTCAAATATACTGTACGTCTTTAAAAATACAAATCTACATTTTTGGAATTGTGTATATAAATTAGTGAAGCGCTATAAATATTATATCAAATACATAGTGCCATTAATAACTCATTGTGCTATATCAAAGATATACTAATGAATTCACAATAATACGTGATAAAAATTATAATAAGGTGATAAACAAATGTCCAAATAATTCATAGATATAATTTAGTAAACTAATAATTGTGATTCACACACTTAAATCATTAATGTGCATATAAACCAAAAGAAGTCCATGCAGGTGCAACTTGTGAAAAACAGGAAGAGTGATCTTCACTTCTAGTGCTCAAATATCCTCCAATGGCAGCAATGCCTACTCACCTCCCCACCCTGACCCACACAGGGCCAAAGGGCTGTTAATCTCCTCTATGACAGATCCTTAATTGCAGGCAGCTCACCAGGGGATCACAGACTTTCCACTCCACCTCCACTCAATCGTTATATAGGACACAAAAAGAACTTCCCATAGTGTAATATTGTTTTAATGATCGAATTTAAAACATGGTAATTCACTCACATTTGTCTCCTTTGTCACAAAGAGCTGTTTCACCTCATCCCATAGGTGTGTAACATGAAGTAAGGGGAAACCAATATGGCCGTTGCGTCCGGACATGCGTCCCCACGTGACCGGAAGTGACGTGACTAGAAACCGGATATGGCGTACCGACGCGTTGCGTCACGTGCGTCACGTGCGTCGTGACTTCATCAGGGTTACATTTTTGGAATGCATTTACAAATATATGTAAAAATATATGTTAAAATTACTTTTTTATATGTTAAAAAAAATCTGAAGAATATTTTTAAAAATATTGCTGTTGTTCCCAGTTCCTTCCACTTTGTTATAGTACCACTAACAGTTGACCGTGGAATATTTAGTAGCAAGGAAATGTCAGGGATGGACTTTTTGCACAGGTGACAACCTATCACGGTACCACACTTAATTTCACTGAGCTCTTGAGAACGACCCATTCTTTCACATATGTTTGTAGAAGCAGTCTGCATGCCTAGGTGCTTGATTGCATACACCTGTGGCCATGGAGGTGATTGGAACACCTGAATCCAATGATTTGGAGGGCTGGTCCAATATTTTTGTCAATATATTGTATATTGCCATTTAGTTTGGGTGCACATCTACTTTAATTATACGTTTTAAGTTTTCTATGTGTGGACAGCCATATACATGCTGTGAACCCTGCTTGGCACACCTTTTATTTCAGTACAAATCAATCATCAAAGCTCTGTCAATAGACTTTCACTGAAACCAACATGCTCCTTAGGTGCACTGCCTCATAATTGTTTTCTTTTTTCATTGAACTGAATAATGCTCAGCTCAAAAAATGTCCGCCTCCACTGTGTATGGATGACCAGTACACTATAATTGGTGTGATTATGCTCCAATCTCAGAGAATTAAGCACTGCACTGATTCATCGCCCAGCAGACAAAATTACTGGTGACATCACAGACAATTAGTTTTGGTGGGAGTATTTTTTGGCCTTGTATGTCATTACATCATTTTACATTTCAGTCACCATACACCACATAGGAACAAACTTCGCTACCGCTTATGTTCATCAGTTTTTCATTCAGGCATTAATGGAAAATTTTCATCACGATACAGTCAGAT